AATACATACTCAATGTGACTCATGCTCAAATATAATATTCTGGGATATATATGTAATGATCATCTTGACTTCCTATCCTCTTGCTTCCTGCAACTTCCCCCATGTAATGGTAGATATAAGCACAGGTATACCTTTTCTTCATTGACAATGCATCTTTTTCTTTGATCTGTACACCTGAACTCCAGATATATAAAAAAGGCCTCCTTTCCACCCTATGGGTTCAGCCATGCCACTATACCTTTTTAATCCAACATTATCCTATCAGAGCATCAAGGCCCATACAGTACGAAAGCAAGCACCTTTCCCACTAGTCACTCTCCAGCCATTGCAGTGGTGGGATTCAGCCAGTTCGCACCACTTCGGCAGAACCGGTAGCTAATTTTTTGTTGCCCAGGCCCAGAACGGACTTCCGGAAGCGGCATACACACAGAGAACCGGTTGTTCACATATTTGAATCCCAACACTGAGCCCTTGCCACCACTTCTTTCTCAGCATTTGCCCTCTCGGAGTTGTTTACTGAGTTTCTTCCCTGATGATTTTAAAAATATCATTTCCACGATTCCAGCCAGATCTAAAAGAGGAAACTAGAACTGCATTATTTGATTCAGAGAAGAAGAAAATGACGTTTTTTTCTACAATCCTGAAAGGGCAGCGAGATATCTGCTGCAACCCTATTTTTGCTTACAATCTCCTGAAAATAATGGGGATGTCAGTCTGGGCTTATCTTGATTATTAGCCAGTTTACCTAGATTTTCCTGTTTTTCATCATTTTTGTTGCTGGTGAAGAAAACATAGTGGCAATGTGGAAGATCATTGTTATTTCGAGGAGTTTAGTGACATATTTTGATTTCTCCTTCACATTAAGAAAAGCATAGAAGTTTAGAGCTCATTCTGAACTAACCTGCTTGGTTTTTACTCTTGCTTACTGAACAGGTGGGGAGAAGAAAACCTTTACATAGCTGCAAACTTTTCTTACTGTGAAAGTCTCAGATTTTCAATTCCCATCCTAGAGTCATGAGCCACCTAGTCAAGGCCAGGTCTTATAGTCTCATGATCACAGCAGAGCCATGAAGTCATGGTGCCAAATTTTGATTAAAAAAAACTTTGGGTTGTTGTTTGTTGGGAGCATCTGCATAGAATCTAGCATTGGATACTGTGGAAACTGAGCTCCCCTGGGGTATCTCTGCTATCATTACAAGGAGCTCCTGGCAACTTGTAAGAGATTTGGGCATCATCTTGCTTGGTATGTATGCTTTTTTACATTATGTTTTAAATCTGTTTGCTTGAGCTAATAATAAAGCTTAAAATCCCTTTATTTACTGGTATGCTTATTGTCTATGAATCCAAAAGAACCAATTCTGGGCACCTGATCACTGCCCTAACACTTGGCAAAGAGTAAGAGATGTGATTGTCCAACAGCTAATTTGTTTCTGTTATTCAGCTCTGCAGGACCTTGTTAGCTGCACAATAGATAGCAGGGGACATCTTCTTCTTTGAGATTATTTCTTCCCTGGTGTTTTCTTTTATTGTTTGAATTATAATAAGTTTAGTGTTGCTTAATTTAATTTTTTTAGATAAACATATATAAAGTATATATACAGTATATATACACACAAAGTGTATATATATATATAAAGTGTGTATATATACTAATAATAACATTAAAAATACAATCCCTGGGTACATTCATATTCAAAATAAACAAATAAACGTGAACACCAGGGAAAATCTTTAAACTACAAAAGTTTAATACAAACACCAAGCTTTCGTCAGCAACTGCTAACATCATCAGGGCTTAAAAAGCCAGTCAATGGGAGAGTCTTTTATAAGTTGATTCAAATCTGCACCCGGCTCCTGGACCTCGTCATCGGTCCTGATTGAGTAAGCTGTGTTCCAGTGTGTATATGTGTGTGTGTGTGTTTTCGTAGATTTTCATGGGTACAGGTATGCAGATCTTGGCGTATTCGGGTCTTTTCCCGTGTAAGATTGAGAGTATCTTGGCGACGTTTCGACGAGGTCCCACTCGTCATCTTCAGGCTGGAGTCTTCGGCTTCAGGCTGGAGTCTTCAAAACTGCTTTCTCCACCCTGCCGGATATGGCTGGGGCGCCGCTGGCTCGGCGGAGCCACGCGGAGCTCCCGGGGTCCGCCAGCACCCAAGCCCTGCCTTTGCGGCTGAGCCAGCGGCACCCCAGCCATGTCCGGCAGGGTGGAGAAAGCAGTTTTGAAGACTCCAGCCTGAAGCCGAAGACTCCAGCCTGAAGATGACGAGTGGGACCTCGTCGAAACGTCACCAAGATACTCTCAATATTACACGGGAAAAGACCCGAATACGCCAAGACCTGCATATATATATATATATATATATATGAGAATTAATTATGCTAAAAATCCGACTCTTGGGTGTAGTCATGATAAAAAGCAAATAAAAGCCGAGCACCAAGAGGAATAAAATTTAAAAGTTTAAAAATTTAATGAGCCGAGCTTTCGTCAGAACCATCTGACATCAGATGGTTAAACTTTGTGAGACGTCATTGCAAGGTGACTGGACCCCAACGAAATTCCGAGGAGCAACCCCAGGAGCAGCCCGGGCATGTCACCCTCCCGTATATTCACAATGTCTCCGAGGCTACAGCCAGACTCCTTGCCCCGTATAACATCAAGGTGGCCCATAGACCTGACCAGACCTTGCGGGCCAAAATCATGCACCCCAAGGACCAACTCCCCAGCGCTGAAAGGTCAGCGGTGGTATACCGGATTAGGTGCATGGACTGCCCACGCAATTATGTGGGGGAGACGTCCAAACGGTTGGGGACCCGCATACACGAACATAAGTTGGCGGTAAAAAGGGGGGAGCAGTGCTCGCAGGTCTGGTCACATATGGCTGAAAGTGGCCACCGCTTTGACTTTGACCAGGTCCAGGTCTTGGCAAAGGACAGTACTAAAGAGGGGCGGCTGTTGAAGGAGGCATGGTTTACGGAGGAGGAATCCATTAACTGTCACATGGAGATGTGCCCGGCGCAGCAGACACTTAGAGCGTGGTGCATGGACCACTCCCTGGGTCATCGGAGGACAGGATATGATGGACATTCCTGCCAGGAGCAGGGAGTGAGGGATGCCCCGCACGCTCGGACAGAGGACATTCCCCCCTGCCGGCAGGCGGCATCTGCAATGGACCCGAAATCCCCAAGGGAAATCCCTTGGAACGCTGGACGGAGCATACATATTATGACGACGCGGTCCCGCTTGAACAAGGAACAGGAACCCCCTGGGAAAGAATCACGGGTGTCTGAGGCTTGGGGCACAGCAACGGCAACCTCCCCCCCTCCCCCCTCCCCCCAGGAGCAGCATTGGCTCACCCCACGAGTCAACACCCGTCCCGACAAACCCCCCCGGTGGTTGGAGGGGGCGGGGTGACCCGCGTCCGCTGGG